CTTGTTGTTGTTGCTTGTTGTTGTTGCTTGTTGTTGTTACTTGTTATTTTTACTTGTTGTTGTTATTTGTTATTGTTACTTATTATTGTTACTTATTATTGTTACTTGTTGTTGTTACTTGTTGTTATTACTTGTTGTTATTACTTGTTGTTACCTGTAATAATTTTCAATCTAAATTAAAAGCTTTTAAGAAATAGTAAGTTAATTATGTTAGCTTTCAATTAGTGTATTATATATTAGCATTAGTAAAGAATGCCTAAATTAGGAAAGCCAATTTGATAAATGACATAGCAAAATAATTCATTTGAAGGAACAAATTTAGCTTATAAAAGTTACAGATATTCATACGGACCATGTTCTCAGGGATATAATTTCATACCAATAGCATTTGGCATTGTGTTATACATTGTTTATATTATGGAATGCTGGCATAATCGTACTAAAACTAACAAAATTAAAAAGGTAACATATCAAATAGTTTCGTTTCATGTAATAAAATTTAGAAAAAAATTTATATTCATCAAAAAATTACAACAAAAATTCATTTACTACACTGATTATTAAAATATTTAGTTAAAACCATCTCACTACCTCATAAAAATTTATATATTTAATTCTGTATTTTTAGAAATTTTAATTTTGAGTTCTAATTACACGTGGCATTAGTAATGATACCGTATGGTTTTTTTTTTTTTAATTTAATTAAATTTAGGTGAATCATATTGAAGCGATGGAATACATTGAAAAAATACGAAGTGCTCCACCAATTGTTTGGTGGCGAAGTATTTGTTATCATTATGTAAGACGAGCAAGACAAATCACCAGGTGTACTATTAAAATTTGTCAGTTTAATTTTTTAATCCTAAAAAATTTGTTTAGATTTCATCTTATAAAAAAGAACAATAGAAAATTAAACAGAATAATTAAAAATTCAACTCATATTATTATTGGTATCATTGTTTTTCTTATATTTTTCAATTTTTAATATGCAGTTATAAGTTCTGAAAAATTTAACCTTTAACGATCTTTTTTAAAAAATTTTGAAACTATGAAGTTAACTTTCAAATTATAAAATTGAAGGTATAGAAATGGAGATGCTATCTCAGCATTGCAAACTTTTTATGAGCGAGTTAATTCACATGCTGCTGGCAGTGTTTTTATATATGATGCATGTGGTGTTAAAGTAATTTTTTGTTTTTAAGTAAAAATTTGATTTCAAATAAGTCAGAGAGGACTATCATGAATTTTTGCAATTGTTATGAAATTTTACGGCATGTACTGTATTTAATTATGATAATTCGAAATTCAACAGGATCTAAGCTTAGCTGATATGACAGATCTGGAGCCGATAAATAAAATATGTTTATATTTGAAGCTTTTTAATTGGTCGTTGACAATTGCGCATGGAAATGAATGATAGATTAAATCGTTGTAACATTTAGGAAATTTTATAAAAGATTATTCAAAAATTTTACAGTAAATGCATATGTTATTATTGTATGTGATATGATCATCAGTAATTCTTCAGGATATATCGAAATCATTGGTTGATTTGGAGCGTTATCCAATCACCAAGATCAATATCAGTAAAGGATTCATTTTTGCCTGTATGCAAGCAGCGAATGAATTTGAAGATCAGCGTTCACGTTTTTTCATCGAAAATGAAATTCTTGATGATTATATGGAAGTAATGAAAGTTTCAATTGATAAAAATGAAATTAATTTGAATGATTGAAATGATGTTTTGGCTAAAATTATCATGGAATGTTACGTTTACGTAAAAAAATCGTAGAATTGGATGTAAAAGGTAAAAAGAAATGATATTTTTCGTATAATATTTAAAATGTAAACAATTTTAGGTACGTGAAGGACTTGATTTTGCCGGTATACAATTTATTGAATCATTAATTGTTTATTCATCAAAATCCAACAAGAGTCCTTGGTATCTAACCTCAACTGCATTTTGGATTTCGAGTATTGTTTTGCTCAGTTGGCCACTAAGACTTATCTGTGATTTGCGTACCGCTCATGTTAATTATCAAATTTCTAAATTATTTGGTACGAATTATTTAAGGTAAGTTATGTTATTAAAATGTCAAAATTGATATACACTTCTATGTAATTCATTTTGCATCTTATACTTAATCTCATTCATTCAATTTAATATCACCAAAAATCAATGATTATCAAAAGTTTCCATTTAAATTTGAATTTTAGTCCATCAAGTGTTAATTACACTGGTATGGTAACTCATTCATCCACAACTGATAGTCGTCAACTTGAATCCATAATACAACATGATAGCTACTTTGTTGTGCCAAGCTATAGTGAAGCTATGCTTATGGAATCAACCAATCAGGTTACATGATTGTTGTGACATTTGAATATGCGAAAAAAGATTTGAATGTGGAAGAAACAAAAAAGTTAAAAATTAAAATGTAAAATCATCGTTTTCTTTTTTAGGCCAAAAAAATAATGATTAAGAAGGTGTGAACGAACAAATAGATTAATTTTGAAATTTAATTTCAAAGATTTACCACATAACAAATTACGCTACAAGTTTTCAAATACATTTTTTCCAGTTCTAATAAGTCGAAATTATTCTTAATTAATAGGATCATTATTCTTAATTAATAAGAAAAGAGATATGATTGTAAGATATTAGAAAATGCATGTGAATCCAAAAGTTTAATTCATTTCCATTCGTGATCATAATTTTACAGCATATCCTTCCCAATGGTCATTTCCGAAATCGGAATCGTGTTGTAACAGCATGCAGTGAGGATGTTGTAATTATGAATTACGGTGCTGTTCGGAGCTCACCAAAACGCTTTTGGCGAAATGAGCCTACTCGATCATCATCGATCCGACATAATATTCCTTTTCAAAGTCGATCTGTGAGTTTGATGTTTAATAAGTAAGTTATTTGTTGAATATTTTTATCGTTATTGATTTTTCCTCCTACAATATGAACTTTATCATGAGATAGTTCGTGTGAAATTTAGACCGACCAAAAATGCACTATATTTTATATAAGCAACGATTTAGTGGTGAATTCGAAATGAAATAAGCCATTACTGATTGAATAGAAGAGATTAATTAGGCTTGTATCTAGTCAAATCAATTCAGATCTTCATAGATTTATATTTTGATATTTTGCTACATTTCAAGAAACACATATAGGTGAAAATCGGCAAGCCTTAATTAACCTTTTAGCATAGTTACAAAACTTTCAGATCTTCGAATTTCAGAGTAACCGGTCGATCAGATCCATTGATCGTCACTACATCATCATCATCAGCACTTCCGCGAACACTAAATGGTTCACCGCGATCAGCAAGTATTTCAGGCTTATCCGCTGCATGGCGTTCTCCTGGCTATCATACGATAAGTGAAGAACCGATCGATGATCAATATCCATTGATCGAACCGATGAGACCAATCGATGAAGCACCTCCTCCTTACGAAGTATTTAAATGTTTGATGGATAATAATGATATCATGTGATACCTACCTGAGAGTACCACATTTAGTAATTACAGTATATCACTCAAAGAATGATTAGAGAGTATTATTGCAGGCAGCGCTGAAGATGTGCGCACCATTTTATAAAAAATTACGACGATCAGCGAATTCACTGACATCTCGATTAAATTCATTGTCGCAATCAACTAGCAAAGAACTTTCGTACACAAGACAGATTGCTCTCAAAGGTCAAGGATCAAGTAGAGATGATGGCTATTGAACGAAGCAAATTTTGCAGAATTGTAAATTAAATTCCATATGCAGATAAATGTATTATTGAGCAATTAGATGATGAAACTGATGAAAGTTAGGAGTATAGCGCTAATGTTATGCTAAATTATAAATTTATCAATTCTCATGAAGTTCTTTCTTTTCATTCATCTTTATTCATGTAAGAATATTTTGAAATAGTTGTTTTACATTTATCGATCAATTCTGCATAAAATATGATTTATTTAAAGCACTTGAAAAGTAAGCCAAAAGTGCCATATGCAATAAAGATAATTAACACCATATAAAACATTTATTAAAGATTTTCAGAACTGGTCTTTAAAATAAATTGAATCAAAATGAATTAAAATGAGACGGATCAAACTCTGCTGAATTAAATTAAACCGAGTTTAAATTTTGGATTGAATTGAAAATAGTACATTTTGGGATACGTGATCCGTCATTTTTTTTTTTTGAATCAAAAATTGAAGAAATTTCGAAAGGTATAATTTGAAAACAGTAAATTGTGATGGTATCAATTAATCAACTACAAATGATCATTCCATCAAAATGGTTCGTTTAATTCGGAACACTGATTATACTAATGAATGAAAGCTTTCTTTTGATGCTACCATATCAATGCCAACCTCCTCATTATAATTGTTAGATGAGATATATAAATGAATTAGAAATTCTTCTCTAATCCATTGGGCCTCTCTTTCATAAATCATATTCAGATATACACTTCCTCATCGAGATTTAGGTCACTCCATCAGGTATATCCGGTCATTTCATTCAATTTCGATAGCTCACAAATTGTCATGTCCATTCATTCATTCCTCTCTCATGCAGGTGCAGTAAAAGTTTTCACTTTTTCAGAATTTCTTTCGTTCTATTGATATCACTTTTATTAATGATAAATAATTATTAAAAAAAAAAAAATGATCATTTTATCGCACCACTTTTTTCTCCGCAATTCTAATTTTTTCTAGGAATTTTCTATTAATAACCAATATTGCCACTAAATTTTGGTAACTCAGAGTTTGTAATTGCCATGAACTCCTATTTTAAAAATGCTTATATAAAAGAAATGACAATTATCAACTTGTTAACAAGAAATTCTCGATATCTTTCTCTAAGAACTTCCTTTAAAGGTTGATTGAATTATCTTTCAGGTTTTCCTCTCTACAGTTTTTTCAATTTGATAGCAGCTTTTTGAGTTATAGGACTGTTTGTTGCTTTAAAACTTCTAAAGCGCTTCTCCATTTTTATGAATTAGTATGAAGAAAATATGCAAAATAATGAAGTACTATTGTCGACAATTAATATATATTAATTGAAGTATCTTCCAATTCTCCCTCCTCATAGTTTTGAATTTGATATTAGTTTTTTGATATTCCGACAATTTCTTTCTGATTGTAGCAATTAACGGCTGTATCATTATTTGATAAAAGATGACGGATAAATTCTTACAGACACTTTCATACATATTAGACATGCTAGTTTTTTTTCACCATTTAAAACATCTTTTAAATGTTGCATTTCTCGTCAAATCTAAATAACCCAATGATATCTTTGTATCGAGATCAGAATAAATTCGAAAACACCGGTAAGCTAATTGATTCAATATTTCCTGCTTCCAGTCCCTTCTAGTAGTGCAGTATATTCTGATAAGCCCATTCATCGGCAAGATTCAAATTTTTTTTTTCACTGACGTAATACATAAATAAATCTAAAAGATCCTATCAATCAATAAATATTTCTCGTTTTTGCAGGATATGCGATGCGATCATTTCCTTCAAATTTATTTTAAACGAGAGTTACTTCTTTTCCTCATTTTCCAGAAGGTAATATAAAAATCAACTTAAAATTTCGTCTAGAATTTGAAAAATATTCCAAAACGTTTTCTCATTTGCATTCCATTATATACTATTACTTTTGCTACTACATTTCATAGTTTAATGATCACTTTCTGACTATCACTTTTGTCAAATTATATTTGAATGATTTTGATTTTCAACTGTGATTTTAAAAAGTGATTTTCAACTGCTAAAAAGTATACAACTAATGAGCAGTGTGCTACCTAATTAAAATGATTAACACTGATTAACAATGATGGATATTTCAGATCAAAAGTTGGGAACAACTGGCAGAGAGTGTAATTCGACCACAAAGTGTTGTTCGTGAAAAACTATTGGATGGTGCTCTAATTTGGCCAGTAAATGCGACAAATTATAACTTTTCAAAACGATTCAATTCTATCAAAAGTATAGTTTTTAAGATTGTTTAACTTTTGTTAGACATGAGAGTAATTTTCCAAGTAGAATTGCTTCCATTATCATCAGATCTTTTTGGACAACGCATGTCCGATTCACAGTACTTCAAATATATGCATTAAAAATAATAATAATCCCCTCTACTGTATGGATTGATTGATGAAAGTGTATGTAACAGATAAATATTGTATCGTAAAGCTTAGAGATTAGAATGGATCGACCAGTTGAATCACGCAAATTTCAGATAATGCAGCCGAAATTCGAACAGATTTCCGAACAAAACTGGTTCCACTGCCTGAGTCATTTCAAACCGTGGATATTCGGTTTACAGCGTCTCCAATGCATCCGTTCGAATCTGCTTTATCGCAAAATGAAGGAAAAAAAATAAAAGAAAATGCCAAAAAGAACCGAAAGCAATCAATTCTGTTAACTGGAGGCATTAAAAATTCCAAGAATGATAAAAAAATGCTTCAAGAGAATTCAGTAGGAATAGTAGATCGAGAAAACGAAAAGTCATTTGGATCAGAATTTGTGCCAGCTACTGAATTTTGGAGCCGGAATAATCAGATTTTAGAAACAACCAATCATTTCGAAAAAGAAAAGCAAATTTTTAATAAGATGAATTTTCAAAGGCCAAAAAACACTGAATATCGAAACACTGAAGCAAAATTTGTTGCAATGGATAAACTGGAAAGTATGGGAAGTGAAAATCAACGATATGAACAAGCCAATTTACTCAATTCGAAAAAAAGCATCAAGCCTATCTTATCAATAAGTGAAACAGAAGGTGATGGTGATGATTTTGATTTGTTGATGAATCTGGAATCAAATTATCCTCAAATGTTGACATCAAAACCACAAGTTTGGTCTGATACCATGCCATTTACTAATGAAATAAACAAACATATTGAACATGGCAAACAAAAACAAACAGGATATCAAAGTTTGAATCCAGAATGCATTACATGTACCGTAATCAGCAATCAACCATGGAACCCATTGAATACTATTGCACAACCAGGAAAAATTTGGACATCTGAATATCACATACCGATGATAAACCGGTTCCCAGCTCCAGCATCACAATATCAACCAAACTACCAACAAAATTCTGTAGGCTGGGATCAGGCATTCATGTTCCAAGGACCAATAGGTCAATTTGTCACACCAATTACACCCATAAATGGTATTTTCGATAATTTCATGCATTTGAAACCATCCACTTTAAATATTCCATGGATGCCAAATCGAGGAGCAACAACTATTAATCGATCATGGAGTGCACATAATATTAAAACCCCTACAAATCCCGTATATATCGGATATGCTGAATCATCTTTACCTGCCTTACGAACTATTCCTCTGCCAACAGCTGCATCAATTTCACAAACTGATCCATCTTTTAATGATTTTCGCTCTTACAATAAATTACCGCTATTATCAACAATGACAACCATGAAAGCAAACTACCAGAAGATTGATAGCGGAACTGGTGTTTACAATAATCAGCAGCAACAAAAAAATCCGCGAACTCATCTTGAGAACAGGTATTCCATTAATCCGGAACTGAAGACAAGATTCTTATTTTCACAATGTTCGAGAACATCAAAGCTATATCGTCTTTAAATCTAAATGCCAAATACTATTTCCAGGTCAATAAGAGTTAAAACATCATTAAGGAACTTTTCTAAACTACTGCAAGGAAATCTAAAATTTAACTAAATAAGAACAAAAATTCCCAGTAAATAGTACGATGATGTTTTCAACATCTACATTTTCTTTAATTCAAGTCCTTTTTTTTTTTTTGAGTCCTAACCACTTCTTTTTTTTTAAGTGAAATAATGGATTCAATGAAAAATCGGCGACCACTAATACCAGCACCTGAATCTTTGATTTCAGCGTGAATGTCCGCGACTTGATTGATTGCTGTGTTCGAGTAACATCGGTTAAAACTACAACGAGGATATGAAATTATGATATAATGATTTCAACTATTCAATTATTTCCCGAAAAAATCTGATGGTACCAGTTGCTATATGTAGTGCAATGGCTTCATCTTTATCTCTCTCTCTACATCATTTTATCGCCGTATTCTCCAAATCCTTTCTCCTATCCCAAAATGCAAACTGTCAACAAAATCCGTTTGTTTGAAATAATGATTTATGGAAATTAAGTTCTTAACATTTCACATTTTGCATAATTCCGTTTCTTGAATTTGAACAGCATATTTAACCATTTAAAAAAATAAGTTATAATATGTTTCGCTGGAAAAATAGTCATCTCAGACGGAAAGTGATGCTATTAAATGAAAAACTAGTTGCGACTAAGTTAGCTCCGATTCTTTACTTTCCGTGTGAAATGACTATTTTTCCGGTGAAACATATTATAACTTTTTTTTTTTTAAGGAGTTGAACCTCTATTAAAATGGTTTATTAAAAAGTGAATAAAGACTACGAAATAAGTAAAAATGATGACTTAAAGGATTTCCATCGGACCGAGCAAAAAATTTGCATTCGACCTTTTCAGAATGGACGAATATCCCATTCCAAAAAACGAAATACCGGGGAGAAGGTGAACAGCAGTAGAGATAATCATTAAAATAAAATAAGAGAAAACGATTTATGCAAATTTCTACCCGAAATCAACTTAAGCTTTTTAAAACGTACTTTTTTTTAATAATAAAATGAATGCCGAAGAGTCTTTCTACCGTATTTTTGAACAGTCAAATGATGAAATTTATTATTCCATTTGTTGCAAGATATCAAAAAAAAATGTTAATAATTGATTAATACCTGTAATCTTTACCCAAAGAAATGATTACATAATACCTACGTAAAGAAAGTTAATGGAATTTTTTCAAGAAAAAAGAGGCATAGCAAATGATCAAAACGATGATCAACTAAATTACTATTAAGCGCTCCAAATATATGAAGAATCTCTAATGCAGTATAGGTGAGTGCTGAAAGTTTAATATATACCTCACTAGCCACCGTAGACAAATGCACAATGTTAGCAAAGTTATTAAAATTTGAAGTGAGACATAGCTGCTCAAAAAGTATAATTCATCAATAAATAAAACCGCTCAAATGACTCAAATTGTAAACTATTCACATTCACCTTTTAAAAGGCTAAAATAAATTCAGAGAAACGAGAGAACGCGAAATTTAGAAGTAAAATAAAACAAATTCAATACTCACTCAAAAAAAATTGCAATACTTCATATTTTCTAATTTGTTTCCGAAAAAATTTCCAGCCACAATTCTCGACTCACTTTTCACTTTTGTGAGATTTATAATTCTACTATTTACCCATTTAAACCATATTTTAAACCAAATTTTAAAACCTGGAAACTTTCAAAATTTAAACTAATAAAAATAATGACATTCACGTAATGAACAATTTATATGCACTACCTTTATGAAAATATAGATATGGCTTAGGACTAGCAACAGAACAACCCTACTAATGATTATTAGCCAGAACAACACGACTTTTTGACAGGAGGTGGATCATCAATAATCAACAAGTCATTCCTGCGTGATACACCATAATGCAAATCTGTTCCTCGAAACTGAGAATGTCTCGCTCTTTCGATTAAATCTAAAAAAATATCCATAAAAAAGCTATAAATCAATAAGTGAATGTCTTTTAAATTTAAATCAAAGTCATCTTTCTAATAAGATATCATCTATCAACTCCAACAGTGACTTTACTGTAATAGAAATATTCAATCATGCATCTCTTAGTTTGAGAGATCGTTGATAGCATCCTTCCGTAGAATGTCCTAATTGAAATTTTTTATCCTGCAGAAAAAAATTTTTTTCTTGTGCATCCGAAGGTTAGCGGAATATAATGTAATGCGATCAAACTTAGCATTCCTCAAGCTAAATTATCAGGAATGTGGTAATTATTCATTTGCCAAAATCAAAAAACTCAAATTAATGATGCATATACCTTTTACGAGGTAATCAAAAACTTGTGTTACACCAATGTTATCTTTAGCTGAAGTTTCAAAATGTTCCGCACCAATCGACTTTGCATATCTAAAAGTTTCAATAAAAAATTTTTTATTTCTCTAATAAAACTCGTGGAAAGTCACTAACTGAAAAAAACTAGACTTCACAAAAAAAAGCAAACCCAGTGGCTTCATTGATTTCTACATTTCGATTTCGTTCTAAATCCACTTTGTTTCCAATAATCATCAAATAAACGTCATCACCTAATATACGTTTGAGTTCCTTTACCCACATTTTTACCTAAAAAATTGAATAGATGTAAAATTTAATTGTTATCAAAATGAGAAGAAAAATGTCATAGCAATATAAGAAAGTATACACAGGAGCACATACCGAAAAAGGAATATCAGTTTTCTAAATAAGGTAATAAACCATATGTCTTAACTCATTTATTAATTAAAGTATATTTCGAACTCTAGCTTTCAAAAATACATAACAAAAAATAAGAAATCCTAGTTGTGTTCACTAGCGTGCCTTTTCAAAGGAGTGGGCATCGGTAACATCGTAAACCAAAAGAGCCCCATGACTATCCCTGTAATATATAGGACCAAGTGCATGAAATTTTTCTTGTCCGGCTGTATCCCATATATTCAATTCTACTGTTTGACCATCGACATGAAGTTTTTTGCTTACAAATGAAGCCTGAAAAGTTGGACCGATGTCGAATAAGTAAAAATATATTTATTTCGAGATTTGTTTTTTTTTACATCAATTAAATAAATAAAATACGTATACAGAGTGCGCGAAAGTACCTGCAATGTTGATACGTGTTGCGGATTGAATTTATTTTCTACATAGCGTAACATCAATGAAGTTTTGCCCACAGCACCTTCACCTAGTAATACAATCTAAAATGAATGCAATTAAATCTTTTCTGAAATTCATTTTGAAAACTTAGCATCTTTTAGGCAAATGATTTGGTTTTAAACCAAAGTATCGGTCTTGTAATTCACATTTTTCTCGCTATGATATTTTGAAGTCAAAAAACAATTTCCGATTTTTGGACAATGTTAATTTCCTAAACTGTGCAACATCAATGAAGTTTTAGACAGTTTTAATCAGTACAGAGTCTATTCTTTACGAAAAATCCAGTTAAAATGAAATAATATTTGGTTTAAAAAGCAGCAATGACCCTAATGCTGCAGAAATCAGGCTCCAGGAACTCCAAATATGTTACAAAGTATCACTGTTTTATAGCCCTTAAATCTCGACCGCCAACGAGCATATGTGGGGAAAGCCTGCACGGCAGATACGGCTCTTTTATAAGAGGCTCATGTATTAACTTATTCTTATTCACCTAACACATATCACTTTAAAAATAACACCGATTGTTTTCCCCTAAAGTCCAATAACATAAAGTTTATTAACTCGAAATAAAATACCTTGAAATTCAGTAACAAATTATTCGCCATTGAAGTACTGGGCACTGTTTCCATTCCAGGAAATAATAACCCACGCGCTACGTGTAGAATTACAACTGATATGTAAAAAGTGACTTTAAAGCAGCACACAGAAAGAAGCGTCCATAAAATCCCGGAAAAATCCCCCTGTTTGTTAGCGTAAATCTTTTGATTCATAATATCAGCCGATGAAGAAATATTTTTCTACAAATATCCCATTGTTTGTGCATCGGGCAAAAAGTGCCACGGTAACAGGAAGTACCATAGACTATATCAGAACAAGAAACAACACAAAAGAGCACTTTATAGCCTTCGGCAATTAATGAATAATCTTTCGCTGCAGCAAAATACCTTTAAAAAAATGATTCATGCTGGACACTGCATACAAGAATTACTCATCAAATAAACATAAAACTGAGAGCTTCCTTGCCCTAACGTCTTATAAATTCCGATATAACGTATCACTCCAAGTTAAACTGTCTATATATCCTATTCACAAGATTTCTGCGGAATTCAGCCATTACTAAGAGCACTTTTGTAACAGAAGCGAATTTCGAACCTTTTCTAAATCCAGAAAAAAATGTAATTACACCCAAGTTGCGCAAAAAATCTTTAATTTCCACTCTTCCCACTATTTATTTCCAAAATTCGATTTTTATAAAGGATGAGATCGAAGTATATTTCAGTACATTTAACTGTATATTTCTAATGCAGTACATTTAACTGTATATTTCTAATGCAGTACATTTAACTGTATATTTCTAATTATGTGTTAATTACACATAATTAGAAAGATACAGTTAAATTGACAGCTATAACTGTCCACACTGTGTAATAACAATAGGAATTTTCGGTTTGTTATTTTGACCTGTTGGAACATTTTCGATTTTTCGTACGGTCAATAAACCATCCAACACTCTTCCTGCAAAAAAATCCTTGATTTTAGGACATTTTTCAGAAGCAGAAAATCAGAGTAAATCACTTCATTAACAAAACAAATAGATCAAGAAGTTTAACAAAACGGTAAAGATCAGTACAGTTTTATCAACTGACAACTAACCGAAAACAACATGCTTCTTATCAAGAAAGTCACACTTTGCACAAGTTATAAAAAATTGACACCCATTTGTATCTGGTCCAGCATTCGCCTGCAAACAACATGGAATTTTTGTCCATAAAATATTGAAATCAATTATTAAGCTGCTTTAATAATAAGCTACCATAGATAAAATTCCCGGTCCTGAATGTTCCAAATCAAAATTTTCATCCCTGAATTTCGACCCGTATATACTTGTCATGCCAGTACCATCTCCCTGCAACAGTGCAACAAAACAGTTGAATAAAAAAGAATATATAATAAAAAAATAGTAAAAATGAGACCAGCAAAAAACTTTATCAATCTTGACTTATGATCAAACTGCTCAAAATGGTAATAACAACGGAACAGTTAAAAGTAAAAGTTCTGTCTATACATTATGCTGAAATATCAAATGAACCTAATTAACACAGATCGTATCCCTTTTCACTATATGATAGATGATACCGCTTTTGGAAACAAGCAAACTAACATTGACAAAGTCGCCTCCCTGAATCATAAAATCCTTGATTACTCTGTGAAATTGTGCATTTTTGTAGCCAACCGGAACACCATCTCTGCGGTATTCGCCAGTGCAGAACTGCCTATAAGAAACAGTGAATTCAATTGTGAGAAATATTCGGACAATGACAGTCAAAATATGATCAATTACAAAACATTCTCGCCACTTACAAGACTTCAACTTACATAAAACATCTATTCATTCAACAACTTAGAGCAACATTTTCTTCAAACCTGAAATTTTCAGCTGTTTTCGGGCAAACATCTGCGAATAATTCCATTTTGATTGTTCCAATAGGTGCACCACCGGCAGTCATTTCCATGAATACTATAGGATTATCTGGATGCCTTAACTGCTCTGCCAAATGATCGTAATCACTCATATCCTATCCTCAGGCTATAAATATGGTGCTGTCACTATAGTACTAAATAACATTTTTCATTTATTATGATAATATTGAATACCATAACCACAAATTAACACCGAATATTCATCGTAAGAGAACGTGTACCATCTAATCCAACCTGCACTCGACATTCAACTAAAAACGACAACCGACTGCTATAATATTTGCTAATATAGCACAAATCAAAAAAATCCCGAAACATCACTTTGAGTCTCCCGCTGTGAAATTTATGATCTCGCAAGCATTTAAATAAACTATAAGTGCATTGAAAAATTTTTTTGCATGAAAGTACTTGAAGTATTAAACATTTCCCAATATCGTAATGGTTGATAGAGAACAGTTGGTTTGATTAATTTAATTAGCTTTCACATTTTAAAATTCAACTTTAAAATTTAAAATCGTACAAAATACAAAGATTTTGCAATGATTTATGATCTCATGCAAATTAGACTTTGCTAATGTATTACTTATGCATTACGGTTACGGTTAATCTTCAAAAATATGCTGTTTACGAGAGATTAACAATAATCAGTGATCGAATTAACATTCAAAATGGATAGAGTTAACAATGCTAAACTTTAGTCTATTCCATCAAAATGACTCATCATAACGCTCTCACCATGCATTCTTCATTGCTCATTGATTGTTACCCAATTTCTTAAAATGATGATATTATGAGGAGAGTATGAAACCAGAAACAATGATCGTGTGTAAATGAAGCATTTCGTGGTTTAAAAAATTTTATTCAATTATCTTTCAAATTTTGCTCAATTATTCAGCCACTCATAGATTGGATCAATCTTCAACATCCAATTGCATGATTCTCTTTAATATCTGAAAA